ATCTCAAATCTCCCGGCGCCAGCAAACCCGAGGAACTTCTTTCCCCAGTCAGGGGCTGTGTCTGTCCCAAGAGACGCAGCTGTCTGCCATGCGGTCTCCCTCCGACCCTCTGGGCTCAGGTCTGGCAAACTTTCCTGCCCAGATCCCTGGTTTTTAACCTTTCTAGGGGAGCTCTGCCCTTCCCGGCTGCAAACCGTCTCACCAGCTGAGTAAATTCGCCAATTCAGGGTGGGTGTTATTAGTTTCAGCTGCTTACTCCATTTGCTCCGGGACGCGTCTGCCTATATCGCCGCCGTCTTGCTTCTCTCATTATTATATTTATTTTAATATTTTTTTTATTGATTTTTAGAGAGAAAAGGGAGAGGGAGAGAGAGAGAGAAAAACATTGATGTGAGAGAGAAACATCAATCTGTTGCCTCCTGTACAAACCCTACCAGGGATCGAGCCCGCAACCTGGGCATGTGCCCTGACCAGGCATCCAACCTGAGCCCTTTTGGTTCATGCTGAGCTGAGTCTTTCATACTGGCCCCTGGAAAACTTTCTGGGTGGCTCTCCTCTCCCTTTGCCGCGGGCCTATTCTCTGCTCTGGATCTCCTCCCTAAGCATCACTTCACACATGTATGGCAGGTTAGTTGGACTCCTGCTGAACGAGAGCTAGCTGTTCAGGTCGTTTGGCCCAAAAGACCTCACTTGACCTGCCACTGTACTTTTTCTTTCTCCTCATTTTAGGGGCTGTAAGTGTTCTTTTTCTTTTTCACAGCTAACCTTCTAAAGAACCTACCTTTTGTACCCTTTCCCAGGTTCTCACCTACCTCTGGCTTCAGAATTTCTTTGCAGAGTAGTACTTCCTTCAGAGGTCAAGTAGAAAAGCTTTATTACCTATGTCCTGTGAAGGCTTTCCCTGTTGCCTCTCTCTTAGAATTAAAGATAAAACGTGTGGAATTGTATCATAATTTCTGTTGGCTAAGGGAATTAGGCTCTATTTCTGGGGTGGAGAAGAAAGAGAGGGTGCAGTAAGGACTGAAGCAGCTCGGTGCCCAGCAGCCCCACTCAGTGACTGTGTGCTCTGGACGCCATGGCAAAGACCCGGGGGCAACAAGCCAGTGAGTTCGAGGATGTCCCTGACACTGCGAATGAAGGAGCAGGGCCAGGAGGCAGGCAAGTGGGCGGAGATCACTTTCTGTGTTTGTGAAGGAAATTGAGGAGTGAATGAATTAAATGCCACAGAAAAGTAATGAATACTGGAGAGTTAATGGAACCAACAGTATCACCTACAGGGTAGTATACACAAAACAGTGCGTATTTATGCGTGATTTAAGGAATATTCAAGGACTGTTTTGAGTATACTTGATTTTATTTTCTTCTGTAGTGGTTTTTTTGTTGTTGTTGTTAATCCTCACCTGAGGATATTTTTCCATTGAGTTTTAGAGAGAGTGGAAGGGAAGGGGAGAGACAAAGAGAAACATTGATGTGAGAGAGACACATCGATTGGTTGCCTCCCACATAAGCCCCAGCCAGGGCCTGCAACCCAGGTACATGTTCTTGACCAGAATCAAACCCAGGACCCTTCAGTCCTCAGGTTGATGCTCTATCTACTGAGCCAAACTGCCTAGTTTCTCTCTCATCGATGTTTCTGACTCTCTATCCCTCTCCCTTCCTCTCTGTAAAAAATCAATAAAATATATTTTAAAAAAATTGTATATTGTACCATGTGCCCACCACCCTGTAGTGATTTTAAACTCTGATCTCGGTAAGAGATGTAACAACTTTCCCCTCACTTTCTGGATCTCTTTCCTTACTTTTTATGCACCCACTAATCCTCAGCACCCTGGCATCTGTCTGCTACTTAGAATCAGTGTAACTTTGGGCATGTTAACTTCACCGCGCCTCCGTTTTCTCTTGGCAAATAGGACTCCAGCAGTGCCTACCTCCTAGCATAGTTGTAAGGACTGTGGGGTTTAAATGTCTTAGGAACCTACAGCAGAGTTGCACCAGGCACATAGTAGGCACTCTTATTGAGCTGTTTGCTGTTGCTGCTGAATCTTACTCTCCTGACATGGCTTCTGCAGAGGTCACCAGTGGCCTCAATAAATTCTTCATCTTCTCCTTCCTCTTGGTTTTTCTCCAGGTCCTTCTCTTCTTTATGTTCCCTGGTGTTACTTGCTGTGCCTGTTTGCTTAAGTGTGAGTGGTTATTGCATATCATCAACATCATGTTTATGCAGCTTCAAGACAGAAACCTCAGAACCATCTTATATCTCTCATCTCTGGTTTCCACTCAGTTCCTAGCATATGTCTCAGTGTGTGGAGATTCAGACTATCGTCTGTAATTAGTTCTTCTGACCTGGTTCTGGCCCTCATCTTCTCTCTCCTGGCCTATGTTGAAAATTTATTCTTGATATCTCTACTACTTTATTCCCGCCACCCAGGCCATCCTGCTTGTGGCCACCAAATTGTCTGCCCTTCAGAAACACAGACATCGGTGCCTCCACCCTCCTGGCTTTAAACCATTACAGTTTCTTATTTCATCAGGACAGAGGCCAGATTTCCTGTGGTAGTCCAGCCCCTCACATCCCTCTACCCTTCCTTTTCAGAACCTTGCCCCAGCTGACATGCCAGTTGTGTTCATTCCCACCTGCCTTTGCTTCTGCCTTCTGCCAGGCATGCATACCATCTGGCTGTCACTCCAGACTATTATGGACAGTAGGGAACTGGTATCCTTGGTGCCCAGTCCAGCCCTTGGCACAGTAGGCATCAATACATGTTGAATAAGTGAAGAATAAAGTAGATTAGAGTAAGATGTATTCGAATCTCTTGAATTCAGAAAAGTGTAAAGTTTGAAATGTAGGTAAAAATTGACTTTTTTTAAGAAAAAAAGATTTAGATTAATATGACATTACACTTTGTTAAAGTGAATTTTAAAATGTACTTAGGCACAACTCTGAATCCCTCGAATAGGGTAGATGTTAATGGGCAAAACTAAACACACACGTTTTGTTTCATTTGGACATGCTTTTCTCTTCCTGGCTAATTCTTACGGAGCTGATTTTTAGTGAGGACCTGCTGTACAAGATGCTAGGTGGACAGTTGAGTTGATATTCACAGCACTTAGCACAATGCATGGCACAGAGCGAACTCTCAATAATGGTGTCTGCTGCCACAACTACTATATTTATCATTGTTACAATGACAGTAATTATTTGCAAAAGTAGTATTGCTTAACCTTTATCTTGACCCTTTGTCCTTGTCCTATGAGTGAGGAAACTGGCCCAGGGAGGTTAATGGCCTGCCTGAAAACCCAGGTCTCCCTCCTTCTCCCTCGGGCCATGGAGCGCAAGGGTCAGATTTCAGGGACTGGGGGCAGGAGTCAGGGGTCCTCTGTATCTGCTCAGATTCCACTGATTGCTTCCTAACTGGTCCTTCTGTTTTTGCGCTGTCACTCTTGTCATCATTTCTACAACCTATTTTCAGACTACAGTTCCCCAAAGTCTGTTAATTGTATTTTCTCTGCTTAAAAATCTCAAGTGACTTTTCTGTGTTAACAGAATGGAGTGTAAACTTGTTTGGCATTTAGTCTCATCATAATCTTGTTCCTTCCTAGTGTGGTATTCCACTATTAGAGTATAGGAACACAGGAATTAAGTGGAGTTAGTTCCACTCGTGTGAGATGCTCATAACCTCTGCAGAGCTCGCGAGTGAATGAATAAATGACTGAAATCTTTTGTTAAGTGAGGACATAGTCCCTGTGTTCAGGGAATTCACAGCTCCATAGGGGAACCCGGAGACACAAGTTACCGCCAGAGTGCTGTGTGTGAGTAGAAGTGTGTGACAGGCACCGCAGGGCCATTGGGCAGAAGATGATTGGCTGAAGGGCATCTGTGGAGAGTGTGGGAGGAGGCTTGAGAAGTTTTAAAATTAAGAAGGAATTTGCCACGAACCCAAGGAGGATGGAGATACCCTCAGCAGGACAGAGGCGGGGCGTCTGGAATTACTGAGCAGGAAGAGTGGCGGGAGACGGGCTGGAGTAAGCAGGCTTAGACCATGTGGAGCCTGGCCTGCTGGCACCTCAGCACGACTTAGGGCATGCCCGCAAACTGCCTAGTCATCGTTCACTGCCGTGTACTCCAGGGGAACAAAAAGCCAATTTTATTGAAGACTGTCCTTATGAAGCAGGAAAAATCATTAATTTAATTAAATTAAATCTTAGCCCTTGAGTCAGTTTGTGATGAAATGGGAAGTAAAGCACTTTGCCACTAAACTCTGAGCTGAACTAGCTGCTTTTTTCACCAGTTTTACCCGGAAAAACAACTGGCAGACAAAGTGGTTAACCAGACCTAGGTATTTGCAGACCTTGTCTCAGAAACGAACAAAGCAACCTGCCATGCCAAGGAAAACAGCTTGGAGTATTTGTTGCCAGTGGTACAGTTTGAGCTTTTAAGCGAATGCTAATATTTTGGAAAACTTATGTCTGCCACTGTCACCTTGACAACATCCCTCCCGAAGACTTTTCTGGTGAGGTCAGTGCTGACGCTGAGTGTGACCTGCGGATGCTGCAGGACGAAATGTGTCAGCACTGGGCACGTCTGCACCACTTCCCACCTCATCTCTATTTTCGAAGGTTTAAGGGTGAACTTGTAAAGAATTAAGATAAAAGCAGGTTGAATAAAACAAACTAATCGTGTGTTTTAATTATCACAAATCACATGACACGTATTTTCAAGTGTGCTTTTTTGTGTCTATTAGTACAACAGTTGGTACAGCGAAGTGGAAGTTTAATCAGGTAAAAAGTTTGCTTGGGAGTGTCTTCCTGCGTTTGTATGAGAAGTGGAGTCATCACAGGTGGGGAGAGCATTGGTCTCACTCACAGATTAATATTTGTGTGGTTTCCTTAGTGAGGATGAGTGACGGCCCTGGCCAGGCCACTCACCGATCAATAGTCATGAAATGGATGTTCAGCGTTGATCACCTTCTTCATTAGATGTTTGAAATCTCACCTTTCAGGGCCCCAAAGCCAAGCCTGTGGTGTCCTTCATTGCTGGCTTAACGGCTCCTCCCGGCAGGAGAATGGGTCACGCAGGCGCCATTATTGCTGGAGGAAAAGGTGGCGCAAAGGAGAAGATCTCTGCTCTTCAGAGCGCAGGGGTTGTGGTCAGCATGTCGCCTGCACAGCTGGGAAACACCATGTACAAGGTGAGCTGTTCGCACGGGCCTTAGAGTGGGTCCGCCCGGCGCCTGGGAACCTTGACCTTCTTCTGGGTCTTATCTGTGTATTCTTTCTGTGTGCAGCTCAGCAGTCCCTGGCAACTCTCTTTATGTCCCAACGTCCTGCACGGGCAAGACCAGGAATGATGTTCTGATTAAAAACAATTCTTTTTAAATTAACCATTGGGATTTGCTCTTTTGTGAGTGGCAGGATATAATCCACAGGAAAGCATTTTATAGTCCATAAATACCACAAATTCCATTCTAGAAGCAGTCAAAAAATTGCCATGTGTTTTGTTTTTCTTCCCCATGGAGGGCCTTTGGGATACAGCTACCCTGATCCCATAGTTTTCTGTTTCCAGTGGGAGGGGTTGGCGGCTGAGTAACAAGGAATTAAAGCTGGAGAAGAGGGAGTTGGGGTGGAGGGAGATTTAGAGAAAAGCGTTCGGGTTCCAGCCTTCAGTTTCTGGCCCTGGTTGGGATGGGAGGTCACTATTGTTACAGGTTGGAGGGTGACTTCTTAAACATTTGCTTTTCTTTCCCCCTTTTTAAAAAAAGATTTTTTAAAATATGTTTTTATTGAATTTAGAGATGAGAAGGGAGAGGGAGAGAAGGATAGGAGAGAGAAACATCGATCGGCTGCCTCCTGCATGCGCCCTACTGGGTATTGAGCCTGCAACCCGGGCATGTACCCTGACACAAATTGAACCATGACCTTCTGGTTCATGGGTCGACACTCAACCACTGAGCCACACCAGCTGGACTCGTTTCTCTTTTTAATAGGACATTGTGGTTTAAAGTATTCTAAGATTTGTTATCTTCAATAATCCCTTTGTAATGAGTCTCAGCCTGTTTCTTTGCGTGATCATTTAAGTCTCTCTCTGTTTTTTATGATGATTATAGCCTTAACAAAAAGCAAACAAACATCAGACTTTATAAGCAGGACACAGGCCCAAATTGTATTCCCAAGAGGGAACAGTGCAATCTTACCCTTGTTTTAGGGATTATAAAATGGACTCCTTATTTTATTCCAAAAGCATAATCCTGTCTTTTGAAATATGATGCTGTAACTGTATGCCATAGTGTTTAAAGAAATCTGGGTTATTAGAACGTGTGGAGACAGATTTTTAAAAGAGGGGAAGGGGAAAAGCAAGTGCTTAAAAATTCACATTGGAGACATGCGTTACCACTTCATTCCAGTAAGTGGCAGCAGGCTTCTCCGGATTGCTGTTCCAGTCTAGAGAAATGTGATTCTCGGGACTGTTTTCTCACAGATATTTCTGATTTTCTTGATCTTTTGTTCAAATCTTAACTGAGTCTGTGAAACCAGTTTCCGTTGCTTAATGGGAAGGGCCAGTGTGGTTCACGTACGGCTTTAAAAGCCTGGGTGAGCACAACCAGGTTTGCCAGCTCCTCCTAACAACTCTGCCCTGGAGAAATAACTGTAATTCACAGCCTCTTGCCTACACGTTTGGGAGGCGTCAAACTGAAGGTCTGCCTCCAGCTCAGTGAAATTGAGGCTGACGTGGACTCATTTGAGAGCTGCTATTTTGTAGTCAAGTACCTCGTCCTGGTACACGTTGCTTCTGTAATTTTTGGTTGTTCAAAGAATCCTGAAGAGCTTTCAAATCACTTTGATCATGAATGTAATTTGGATCTTTTATCTTTTTCCTTTCTTCTGTCTCCGAAGGAGTTTGAAAAGAGGAAGATGCTATGAAAGGGAAAACAGAAAGTGCCCTAAGCCTGCGGAATGAATCATTGTGCAAAGCGAACCAGTGGCAGTTGCTTCTGTTGTGCATTGCCAGCCTGCGCCCGTCCCTGGGCTCCACACAGCGGGAAGCCAAAACAGAAACAAGGCTTCGAAAGTTCTGTCTTGAGATGTTCTCACCTCGTGTGACGGAGACAGCCAATAAATCTACCATTTGATCTGAATATGATGTTGGCGACTTTTTATTGCCCAGTGTGGGGATGGGGGCGGTAGGAGAAACTGAGGGGTGTGCGTGCATGTGTGCCTAGGTGTGAGTGTGCGAGTGTGTATTTTAACGGGTTCTGTAGAAAACATTCTAACTAAATCTTTTGACAGAATGAGACAAAAAATTTTAGTATGGCATTTGTGTAATTATCTTAGACATAGAGTGGCCTTAGGTCTCTTTGGAGTTGGAGATTGCTCATGTGTATCATGTGTATTTATAATAGTCCCCATCTTGCAGAGTAGTTTTGAGGATCAGAGATAAATATATGAAGTCCCTGGCACATGATAAGCCACCACCACCATCATCGTCATCATCATCACCAGGATTGCAGGTAGAAGCTCACCTGTTTCGGTTTTTGTCTAATTGGGAAACGGAGCGTCTTCCACAAGGCTGTGTTGTCCTTAGTTCTGCAGAGGGCTCTTCCCCTCACTGTCCAGAGCCCATATTTCTGTGAGTTTTAAGACATTCACTGCAAGAAAGCGGGAACGCTGTCAGCCACCCTACCCTGTGTTTAACAGGGAGCTTGTTAACAAGAAGCACTTTCTGTAGACACTTGTCACTCCCCAGGACAGAGGGCTCAGCATACATTCTGAGGTGGAAGAGACACAGAATGTTTTAAACTGGGTAACTTCTCTGAAGGAAACAAACAAGAGTTTCAAAAAATAATATTAGGGAGGTGTCCTTGAAGAAAGGCTGTTGGGGAAGGCCTCATGGGTAGGGGACAGGAGGTGGGACCTGAGAGCTGAGAAGGTACCAGCCATGCAAAAGGGAGGTGCATGCAGCGAAGGTAGGGGGGTAGGACTCTGAGGAGCTGAAGGAACACCCAGTGTCTGGGGCAGCAAGCCCTGGGAGGGGCTGGAGGAGGTTTTGGGGTATTGGCTAGGGCAGCAGCAGCAGGTCTTGTTTTGAGAGAAGTTGGGGAGAAACTAGATCTCAGGTACCACGATTGTTTTGGGCAAAATCTGATACCTCCAGGAAAATCCATAGTGGAGTTTTGCATTGTACCCTATATTAATTTCCCCAGGGGAAAAAGTAATTGGTGTGCTCTCTAAGGAGTTGAAAAATAAAAGGGTGTTTGTAGGTAGGTGAGTGTGCCATGGTATTAGGTTCCTTGAGTGTTCCTGAGACGAGTGAAGAGATCTAGGATGTTCTAGGGCAGTGATGGCGAACCTTTTGAGCTCGGCGTGTCAGCATTTTGAAAAACCCTAACTTAACTCTGGTGCTGTGTCACATATAGAAATTTTTTGATATTTGCAACCATAGTAAAACAAAGATTTATATTTTTGATATTTATTTTATATATTTAAATGCCACTTAACAAAGAAAAATCAACCAAAAAAATGAGTTCGCGTGTCACCTCTGACACGCGTGTCACCTCTGACACGCGTGTCATAGGTTCGCCATCACTGTTCTAGGGCAGCGGTTCTCAACCTGTGGGTCGCGACCCCTTTGGCGTTCGAATGGACCCTTTCACAGGAGTCACCTAAGACCATCCTGCATATCAGATATTTACATTACGATTCATAACAGTAGCAACATTACAGTTATGAAGTAGCACCGAAAATAATTTTATGGTTGGGTCACAACATGAGGAACTGTATTTAAAGGGCCAGAAGGTTGAGAACCACTGTTGTAGGGAGTGAGGACTGTGGCTGCAGACCAGGGCCGGGAGGTGAAGGGCCTGGGACTCGGGGGCGGAGAGCTCAGAAGGCGGGCGATGCAATGTCTTTGGAGAACCCGGCACTCACACTCCGCAGTCCTGGTGGCCCCTGTGCAGTGTGCGCTTCTTGGTCCCAGGCTGCTCTCCAGCTCGCTTTTCAAAGTGGTTCTCCGGAAGTCGCCTGGCACAAAGCGTTTGTCCAGAGCACAGTAGGCAGGCGGGACGTGTACCTGAAGCTCAGAGGCGGACTGGCCGAGGAAACCATCCTCTTTATGTGGTTTCCAGTTTGTTCCTTGTTTCCTGAGTGACACAGAGATGCTGTAATGGAGAAGATCTGGAAAAGACTGACCTTCCCTCATTCTTCAGGTGCCTCACCCAACGGGGGTGAGGAGGGCATATGATCGGGGCATCACCAAGCCGTTTAGGGAAGGTGATGAGAATAGACGTTTTCAGTGATGTTAAAGGCACAGTCATTCAAACTGAATTGTGACCGTGACCACCCTCTTTGAATTTGACCTGTTCTACATGTAGGATAGGTTCACCCTGGCAGAGGGCATGGTTAGAGTCTGTCCATGGCCAGGAGATGGTGCAAAGCTGGAGGTCTGGGCAGAGGTCAGGACTTTGTGCTTGGCTTCATTCTCGCTAAAGAGCCGACCACAGACGATTGAGACCTTGAGTCAAGGTGGTCCCGGCAGCTGTAGGAAAGGCCACTGCCGAAGGAGCTGCGATTCTTCATCAGTTTCACTGTATCAGGAATTCCCTGAGAATTCTGTGGGGCTGGGAGTCTGGTGTCAGGGCTGTCAGATCCGGAGTCAAGATTCGAAATTGCTCAGGATCAAAAGCCACGTTAAATCTGCTGTGATCCAAGGGAAAACTGAGCGGGCAGGGTGAGGTCAGCACTCGGGCTTTTATTCAGACAAAGGAGTTCTGTCTCGTCATCGCTTTCAGCTCATTAGTATTCTGATGTGGAGAGGAAAGCATTTCTCAGCGGCTGAATTAAGGATGTTTCAACATGAGGCCTTTCATTTGGACGCCGGGGGTGGGGAGGCCTCTGCCATGTGATCTGGTTGGTCCTTGGTGATTCCTGGCAGCTGGAGAAGGAATAAGTGGTGATCCAGGACAAGCATGGCACCTTCCACAAGGTCAGGTTTCCAGCGATGGGGTGAGGAGGAGGAGGCACTGCACACAGGAAAGGACTGGGGGAAAGTCATCCTCAAACACCATCCAAGATTGGACAGAGCGAAGTCCGTTTATAACAGTGTCAGTCAAGTTAGCACTTCCCTGCTGCTGCTCCAGCCCCAGAGGATGAGAATCAGCAGGTGGCCAGGAAAAGGGTGAGGAGGAGGAATCAGCTGGGTGGGTGGGGTGGGGGGATGGGGGAGGGATGGTGAAGCTGAAAGTGGTGAGAAGCCTTAGGTCTGAATGGACTTTCCTATTACTTGGAATTGGACACACTGAATCCTGAAGCGATTTTGTGATTTAAATTAGTGTCAGGGTTTTGAACCTTTACAATGGAATAAAACTGTCATCAGGGGCAAGACAAAGAAATAGCCCTTGTTATTGTCCTGGGACTGCCATACAGATGATCACACACCGGGCAGTAAAACAGCGGGAATTTATTCTCTCAGCTCTGGGGACAGAGCCCGAAATCAAGGTGTCAGGAGGTTCACACTCCCTCCAGGGGCTCTGGAAATCGTCAGCTTCAAGTGCCTGTGGGTCCTCGGTTTGCAGCTGCATCCCTTCATCTCTGCCTCTGTCTTCAGGTCACCTTCTCCCATTTGTCCCATCTCCCCTGGGTCTCCCTTATAAAGACACTAACCAATGGATTTGGACCCGTCTCCTCCCCCCACATCCCCCCAGGATAATCCACTTGACCTCTTCAAGAGCCTTAACTTAATTACATCTGCTAAGACCCTTTTCCTAAATAAGGTAGCGCTCACAGATTCATGGAAGTAAGATGCAGACGTCTTTTGGGGTGGGGGTTAGGGTACCATTCCTAAAGCTGTCTGTGATTGCATGGGTGAGTCCTGCTTGTTCAGTGACGCCGGGGGGGGGGGGGGGGGCACCCCTGGGCATAGGAGGAAGGCAGGGCTGAGGTCTCCCACTTGCACT